ATCTTCTATTATCTATCTATTTGTGGTGGCCGAATTTTGCTATTGACAAAAGGCTTTTTAATGGCTGCATCGATCGACATGCGGTTTTCGCCAAAAGATTCTTTAAAATATTCTCCAGAGCATGGCGCCCTTGCTTTTTTCAGTTTTGAGACAGTTTTGATGCAAAAAGCTTAATTTCTTTATTTCGCCGATCGCTTTTGTAGGCCGACGCTTCTGTCTCTGTAATTTTAGAAAATCCGGAAGTGCTATGTTGCGAGGCGCATTTAGTTTTGAGAGTATAGATCTAGACCTTCTAATTTTTTGCATCTCTCAAGATTTATTGCTCCATTCCAGTAGTGTGTAAATATAGTAGGCCAATGACTTTTAGTTGATATTAAAGCACCGATCATTCCGCCCATCGATAGGGGGCCCAGCTAGTATAATCTATTTGTGGTGGCCGAATTTTGCTATTCAAAAGGCTTTTTAATGGCTGCATCGATCGACATGCGGTTTTTGCCAAAAGATTCTTTAAAATATTTTCCAGATCATGGCGCCCTTGGATTTTTCAGTTTTAAGACGGTTTTGCTGAAAAAAGCTAAAATTGTTTATTTCTCTGATCGCTTTTGTAGGCCGACGCTTCTGTCTCTGTAATTTTAGAAAATCCGGAAGTGATGTTTCGCGAGGCGCGTTTTGTTTTGAGAGAAAAGATCTAGACCTTATAATTTTTTGTATCTCTCAAGATTTATTGCCCCATTCCATTAGAGTGTAAATATAGTAGGCCAATGACTTTTAGTTGATATTAAAGCACCGGCCTAGACGGTCAGAGAACGGTTAGTATAAGAACGTATAGGCACCGCCGATCATTCCTTTCATCTAAACGGGGCCCAGCTAGTATATCTTTATAAATATTTCCCTTTAAAAAACTGTACAATTTTATTTTTTTTTATATCTCGAACAATTTGTGTACTAGAATGCTTTAATTTGAAACAGATATAATTCATTGAATAGAAACTTGTTTGGCATCTGATTTATAAAGAAGAAATTCACTTTCGAAAACGGAAATTACTTTTATAAAAACCACCTATAAATGTCAAATGCACGAGTATAACAGACCATGTAAGGAGAGAGATGAAATGATTGGTTCGTTTTTTCCTTTCCTTTTATTTTTAAAATCTAATCTTTCAATCCTAGCGACCTTTAAAATATATTTCTTTTCTCCTACATAGTTTCAAGGATATTTTTTAACATTCTGAAATTCCGAGATCTAGTGCTCTATATGTCCACCTTTGGACTCGACACACTTTCTCGCGTCGTTCGTAATGTTCAGAAATGACACAGAACAGGATAGTTCACTTCCCTCTTTGAGCCCATTAAAAAAGTGTCCTCAAAATTAGGTGGTGCCATCTCCGAAAAAGTGCGGACTTTGCGATCAGAGTTATCCTACTTGTATGGAAAAAAAGTGAAACTGACTAACTGTGCTTTTCCTATTCTTCTTCTGGAGAAGCGAAAGAGAGCTTCAAAACAAAGACTGCAGCGCCATCTGAACCAATTCACTTCCGCGGACACTTTTTTGGCTGAGTGAACTATCTTGTTATGTACGATCTTTAGTAATGTTCAGTGGTGGCCAAACACAAGGATCCACTCAACCATGAGTACTCAAAACTACACACTCTACACCTTACAGTATGGAGCTCTTTCTAGAGACATTTTAGGGGGGAGGGTGAGGTTGCCCAAATAGACATCATTTGTGGAGCTGATATGACTTGAAAACAAGGACTACTATCCTCATAGTATAGTAGTCCTTGCCTGAAAACTAAATATGGGCTTTCCCAGGAACCAAATGTCATAGAGGAAATGTTCACACTTTTTAAGAAGTTCGAGGAATCATGAACACATTACTGTCCTCTGAGAGCTTTGCGAACAGGAAAATGGTACAGTCGTAGATGAAGATTTGTCTTGAGAATGTGGACCGTTGAGATGTAAGAAAGTCATTGCTGCAGACATCGTCTACAGAAAGACGTCTCATGTGGTTTATCTACTGAATTCTGCACCCTGGTGACGTTTAAAGGGGTGCGAACGGTATATGTGTTTGACCTGAAGTGGCCGATTTGTTCAGATTCTCTACAGGTCCTAACTGAAGGACCATTTCCACCCTTGACATGAAAGAATGCCATAAGGGCACTTTAACATTATTTCCGTGCCTTGTGCGAACCTTAAGAAATGAGTTGGTGGTGAGGAAATGTTCAAGACAAAAAGCTCTCTGCTCTTTGCTAATCTTAACCATTATCTCAGCTGGCAAAGGAAACTTGAGAAAAACTATCTGCAAACGGCTGTTGGCCTGTTAGACTACTGTAGTTTGCAAAATAGCGCTGTCGCAGGGATTTTTAGTAATAGGCCTAATGGGAACTAGTGTGTAATGCTACAATAATGGGGACATAGCTAAAAATTGATTGGGGGTTTTTTACGCGCTATGTAGAGCAAAATTGTTCTGTAGATTTATTTAAAACTAGCTGAGCCCTCCCTCTTTCCATGAAAGGAATAATCGGTGCATTAGCATCAACTGAAAGTCATTGGCCTACTATATTTACACTCTACTGGAATGGAGCAATAAATCTTGAGAAATGCCAAAAAAAACCTAGAAGGTATAGATCTATACCCCAAAAACAAAAACATCACTTCCAGGACTTCCGTTGTGAAGGACAGCATGCACCGATTTGTTTCGTTTCTCAGTGGAATAATCACAAAGGCCAAAGAAGAACGGGAACTTTTTGTCAAATATATTTAATCTGTCTAAATTCAGGAAATTAATAAATCAAAAATTGGGCTCCGTCACGGGGACTTATCTATCTTTTTGCAGGTAATTTCCAACTTTCAACTCTGTCGCTGTAGTGGTTTTATGGGAAACGTGACACATACATGTTTCAAGTTGCCAAATATATAATGGACTAGCTGGACCCCCTTTTGGCGAAAACCGCCTGTCGATCGATGCAGCCATTAAAACGCCTTTTGAATAGCAAAATTCGGCCACCACAAATAGATAATAGATGAATATGAGACAAATTCCTCTTGACTTCCAAATGTTGTGTACAAATTTGAAACGCAAAACTGCAGTGTGGAGGAAAATATAAAACCACAAATGTTTTTTGGGTGAACGCCCTGATATTACGTGAGGTTGTTGTTTTCTTCTTGTTGTTTATTTTGGCTTTTTTTTTACATTTTCTTAGTATGGCGACACGTTTCGTTCGTTCTGAAGTGTCAGTTTTTGTTTTCTCCAGTGATTTACATAAAGCATTTCAATATTCGTTATTAAAACGTGTTACTTTTGTTACACCCAGATCACAGTGCTCGGACCAGTTTTTATCAAATTCGGACCAGCAAAATCGGACCAGCATCGAATGTACGAGGAAAATTGCAGCCTGTGGAAATCATTCGCCGCCCATTTGTACAAGAGGGAGATTCCTCAAAACGCGGATTTTCATTTCGTCAAAACAGTAAATACTACGTTCGGACGAATTGCGAGGTTTGTTCTGTTCGGAGATTCCCGCATCTGTCCAGCGGCAGAAAACGTGTTTTAGTGAGAGTGATTCGAAAAAAAAATTGTTCGAATACAAAGATTTACATCACGAAATGGTTCACTCTTCTTCATAAAGTAATAATTGCAGATCCATGCAGTTAATGATCCGATCAACAGAAAATAGTCATTTAGGAAGAGGGCCATTTCGACCCTGCCTGCCAGAGCCAACTCGGGCTGAGGGGGATACAACGTCACAGCAGACTGATCAAAACCAAAGAGTCTACATAACAAGAGGGGCCACTTCTCTCTTTGAGCCAATTAAAAAAGTGTCCCCAAAATTCGGTGGCGCCCTCTTCGCAAATGCGCACCCTTTGCGAACAGAGTTACCCTACTTGAGTTTAAAAAATCAAAGTGAAACTAGCAAGTTTTTGAATAAATTTCGGAAGAACGCTTTTTTAAATGGTTAGGCTGACAAAAATCCTCTTCCGGAGGAAAAGGTGATTGCTTTCTTCGTTTAATTTGACTTTAGAATGAAAGGCGAGAGGTCATTAAAATATTTTAAAAACCATAAAACTCCGCACTGAACGAACCCGAACTGCTGATGAACAGCAGTCGATCTGCGCACGCAAGGAGGTGCTATTCCTATTCTTCTTCTGGAAAAACGAAAGAGAGCTTCAAAACAGACTGCAGCGCCATCTGAAGCAAAGAGTGAACATCTGGCGGACACTTTTTAGGCTGAGTGGCCCATCTTGTTATGTACTATCTTTGGCTGAGTGGCATATCTTGTTATGTACTATCTTTGGCTGAGTGGCCCATCTTGTAATGTACTATCTTTGTCAAAACCTCCCTACACTGGAATCGAACCCAAACCTGCTGCATTGGACAAGGAGGCGGCCTAGTGGTTAGGCTCTCGGACTCGCAACCGTAAGGTCGTGGGTTCGAATCCCGTCAAGGGCCCGACGTTGTGTCCTTGAGAAAGGCACTTTACACCAATTTTCCTCACTTCACCCAGGTGGGAATGGGTTCCCGGCTATAGACAGCGAAAGATCTTGTCAGTTTGTTAGTGTTTGAGCGCTTAATCGGCTGCTCGCACTGTATGCTTCCCGGGAAGCTGAGAATGTTTCGGAGTGTTCTGTGGTCTGCTGGGGTAATAATATAGTGTAAAGCGCATAGAGCCTGCTGTTGAGCGGGGATATGCGCTATACAAATGCTATCTATTATTATTATTATTATTATTACACCACAGACGCCAGTGGAGATTAGATGCAGAGATGCGAGCTTGTAAAAACCATAATATTACAATAATTTATTATGTCCACGAGGTTGTTGTTTTTTTGTTTTTCTTTAGGGGGGTGTTTATTTTTTGTTCGGCTTTGAGGGGGGTTGGAGGCTTGTTTTTGAGGTTGTTGTGTTTTTTTTTTGGGGGGGGGGGGGTTCGTTTTTCTTCTGGGGGGGGGGGTGTTTGTTTGTTTTTGTTTTGTTTTGGTTAGGGGGTTTTTTCTCTTTTTTTTTTTTGTTGCTATTTTTTTCCTTTTTTACGTAACCCATAAGCGAGAAAACGTAGTTTCATCGCTTCTTAGACTTAAGAATGTGCATTGTTTACATAAGGGAGAAAATTATTTCTCACTCTTCATAGATATGGTAAGAATGTGTATTGATGATGAATGATTATCTATACAGTGAGTGCATTTTAGGGGTGGGGGGGGAGAGAGAGAAAGTTGAAAAATAATGTTTCTTATGAATAGTAAATTATGTACGAATGTCGTTAATTCATTATACGATTGCTGATTATTGTTGCTGTGATTGAATGAAAAGCATTATGAATGTGTAGTTAAGTTTGTTAGGTGATAAATATATTCTTGATCTACAAATCTGATTCTGACTCGCTTGGAGGCTCCAGTGGCTAAGTG